ACGAATAAGTAAGGACTCTCTGATCATTTCCGCTCCTTCGAGCACGTCACGAATCAAGTCAGGCCGCTTCCGTGCTTGCCTCTTCCTTCCGTGGATAAGAAGGGACGGGCACCGTATCTAACGGTCTGTGTCTGATGGCAGGCAGGTGGGTGGCAAAGCTCGTATGTATGCCTAAAGACACACACATGCGGTCGTATATGCATATGCATGGTAGCCCCTATCGATAGTTCGTGTCCAGACGAGGGGTGTGAAGACGGCGAATACCTCGCGGACGGCTGGTCATATCTTTGTGCTGCTTCTCCCGTGTGGCTGTGGGGGTGTTTGCGCACGGCGAGATGTGGTCCTTGGGCAGCCAAGGCTTCCCATCACACTCCCCGATCACACCCTGGGAGGCACGGGCGCGAAGGTCGTTGGCCATTGTCAAGCGTACGTAAGTAGGCAAGCAAGTAGCGCGACGGCGATGGAGAAAGCCCAAGAGGCGCGCGCGTTGCAGTGGGCGGTTTGGTGTTTCCGCAATTTGGTGACAGGTGGAGCAGCAGCACGAAGGACTTCGACGCACACTGACGTCTGAAACGGAACCCTCGGTCCCCAAGCTGATTGGCGTGCCTGATCCGGCCACCTGACTCAGCCGCTAGCCACGCGCGGTTCCTTGCCTACCACGCCCAAATGCACTAACTAGCCGTTCCTCTTTTCCACAAACAACACCATCGTCTCCCACTGACGATGAGATCATGACAGCTTTGGGCTACCATGGAAGCGCCCTTGCCATACCACACTCGACGCCCCTGCTGATGATGACACTGGCTGCACACATCCCCTTCACCCTCACCGACTAGTCGGTACACTACCCCGCAAGCAGTGTCCTAGCTCCGACTGCGACAATGGGAGCCGCGTCCCGGACAGCGCTCCCAATGCTTGTGGTTGGTCCGTCATCAATCTCCTACGCCTTGGAGACGATATTCCTCTGCACTCCTGCACTGTCGGCTAAACGCGTCCCGGGCGACTAGCGACGATGCACCACCCAAGCTCTCTTCTGAATGGTGGCAAGAGCTGAGTCAGATTTATTGCGTCTCTTCCCACGACAGTCCATACAGTGCAGCAAACACAGCCCTCGACGAGCTTTGGATACGATGGTCGGGTACAATGGTTCGTGTTCTGCTCTCCATGCGCCCAGTCACCCTCATTCGAGTAACCGGCTTGTCCCGACCCACGCTTTGTTTTGCATAAACTCACATCCCGCCTTCCTACTTGGCATGGCAATCCCGCTGCCGTAGCCAGCCCACAAAACTCGGGTCTGCTCGCTCCACTCGACCTCATGTGGTTTGTCGTGCCATTCTATATACTCGGAGGGGAAAACAAGTGGGACCAAATATGTCTTTATTGACCAACAGTGATGTGCTCAGCTGAGGTATTCGAAACACCGCCATCTTGTCAGCACTTTGCATTGCTCGGGCCCGGATCGTCGGGCCTCACGGAAAACAACTCTAGGGCATTGACTCCCGTTTGGGAACAAGCAACCTCGGAGCGTTAATGAAAATGGTGTCAACGGTCAACTCGCGTTTGTTTTATCCCGACAATGTTGATGTTAGATATAACAAAAGCAAAAACCGATCGTCTCAACAACCCCCTTCGGATTTCCTTGACCGTTGCACTGGTCTGTCGGAACTCCCCGTGCAGTTCATGCATATCGTTCCGATCACGATTCCACGTCTGCGTTAGTTAAGAAGCAAATATCCTTGTCATAGATTCAGCACAGATTGAATTTACACTATGCACTGTTGATTGCACCTTCTGGAACTTCTCCATAGTTAATCTTCAAAGCTAGGGATATGAAATCGCTTCACCTCTTACGTCCCCTATATCTTTAGGGAGTACGTATAGGGCAATCTTCCTCGAACCAATGACATCAACAGTACAGGCTCCCGAAGCTGAAACGACGCAAGACAGTGCACACATACGATTGCGTCAGCCGCTGATGTATCCAAGCAACATGCTAGACACGAGAATTACGTCTGTCAGTCTCCTGAAACCTTTACATCGGGCTTTGAAGGTTTATTTCCTCCAATCATGATGCTTGTTATGGTGATAGACGGAAGACCGCCATACATCTCTTCTCATGTCATGACTCCAGTGACGCGTCACGAAGATCAGCCAATCGCAATGGCATATCAAACCTTACAGTGCTAGCACACTTGTTATCGAACCCAACGCTTTGGTATGGATAGAAAGCGTACTGAATGAATACAGCGAAGTGTTGCATACGTGAGGTATGCGAGCTGTCACCTATATTATATGAATCAGGCACTGAGCACATTATAACTAAAACTTGACAACCAGTATCACACACAATCACACAAGCTCTATTTCCTGAAAACATAAATATAATGATAGGACATCTATATAGATATCCCGCAAACATATCTAGGCCAAGCATGACAGTTCTAAATCACCATAGCAAGAGCTTGAACCCTCTCCAACCCCATCCCTCTATATCACCATGTCCACCCGACCACATCTACAATCCTCCCCAACAAATACTTTCCATATTACATCCCACTATCCACCATTCTACCTGAATCACCGCCAATCCCCCGCACCGACCGCACCGACCGCACATAAACATCCCTACCCAATCTACCCATTCCCTCATCGCGCATTTTCCCTCTATTTTTTTTGCTTAATCTCTACCCACTTCGTATTCGTCATTGCCCCCTCCATGCATACACACGAGCCCCTTTCCTTTTGAGCAAAGGTTCCATACCTTCGGATCGCCCTTTTTTTTCCGACTCCCCAATACTTTGTATCTATTTTGTCATATAGCGAGCGTATACAAAATATGTCTCTTCCCAGAACTAAATGGCGGCACGTTATAACATCAAACTATCAGAATCAGGTATCAACACCCTAATAGTTATAATTAGTGTTTTTTTTTGGGGGGGGGGGGGGACTGGGTTTGTCGTTGTCATTGTCAGTGCTTCAAAACACGAATACGAGAATGACACACAGACCCTGAGTAGGCGGAATCAGCCTTATCATCTTGACATGTTCTTTGCAACTAGGTTTTGTGCACGGTTGGAGGATGTGTCGCATGGGAGTATTTGAAACGTCGATACTATTTTGCGTTCATGGGTTGGTTGCCTGTTTGATGTTGATGGGAATCAAGGTGGGTGGTGGAGTCTTTGGTGGGTTGGACTTGGGGGGATCCGTTTTGATTTACGCGACACACGAGTGGAGTGCAAGTGCCTGGCCGAAGACGCTTTGATGGATACAAGAGATATATATGGAAAAGGATATAATGACATTGGCTGTAAAAGGTTGTGGTGAACCTAACCCATTGTTGTTAAGAGGCGTGTGGGCTGGAACCCAAGCAACATAATATCTGCTTCTTCTAGCAAATCGTTCTGAACATCATCAAATAGCATATTCAACCAACGAATAATCTTGACAATCATGGGTCAAAGACTACAAACTATGCAGCCGACAATGCTCACTCTTGTTAGAGGGAATGCGACAGACATCAATGTCATCTTAATGCTATTCGCAAAAAGTAGCACTTCACGAAAGCATGTGTCTCACCATCAAACCATCTTCTTCATCGTAAAACTCAAAGACGGTCTGCAGGCGAGCAGTGACTTTTGTCACCTGGCATTATTCTCCGCTAGTCGTATAGCTCACGGCAACCATTAGGTAAGGTCGATGAGTAGATATTCTAGCGTGGATGGGGAAATTTTTCTTCACATGCCTTTGTCTCACGGTGACGGCTGGAGTAACAAATGTCATTCGTTGCCAAACTCCAAATCCATCGTGGTATCATTTCGAACAGAAAATCTTCGACGGGGCCGCATGGCGGCAAGTCCATTGTTGGAGCTAGTAGCCGGTAAAACGCCCTGCTTTTCCATGCGCACATCGCATGCCCAGACCGTGAACCCATGATATGCATTTCATCCACTCAGAGGCGGTGGGACAGCCCATGCCCATGTGCCTCGAAGCCGTGGTGTGTCGTCAAACAAAGAAACAAAAAGCGAGACGCTTAAGCCTCCCTCTGCTTCTTCTTCTCCTCGCGACCGGCGCTCTTGCGCTCTAGGATAGACTCGCGGTCCTTGTCGAGCTTGAGCTTGGTGATGACGACCTTGGAGGGAGCGATGGGGATGGGGACCGACTGGCCGTTGCTCTTCTCGCGGACGACTGTGTGAAAACTTAGTAAGAATGTATCGGCTTGAGGAAATCGAGGGCTACGCACTGCCGTTGACGTGGATGCAGTACTTGAGGCGGTAGACGGAGGAGACCTTGCCCTCACGGCCCTTGTTGGAACCGCGGACAACGGTGATCTCGTCCTTGGAAAAGTCAGCACACTACCAAAGTCGGTCAAAATCCAGGTACACTCACATCCTTGCGAATGGGAATGCTGCGCACTCCGTGCTTCTCGCGGAGCTCCTTACTCAAAGGCGCCTGAAGGTTGTTAGAACATGTCCACTGCAATGTTCCAAGTCTCTTCATACGCTCATGATGACCCGACGCACACTACTCGGCGCACTGAAGTGCGCCTTTCGCGATTTGCGGCGAGAGCTCGCGACCATTGACTGGACCTTGGTCATTTTTGCTGTGGAATGGGCGGGTTGTCGGGTTAGTAGACAAAGTTCGTGTCGCACCTCGAAAATTAGAGTGGTGAGAATGTGCAGAAGCCAGACCAGCTTCGCTTCGCTAGCGTCGGCAAAACCATTTTTCCGATGCACTGCAGCCACCCCGGCCCGCGCAAGTCGGCCACGCGTGCATCGCAGGTCGGCCGTCATGGGCGCGGCGTCACTTTGCTACGCGTCGCAGTCTATCTGGCCCTTGATCCGGCGCATTTATCGCGCGTCAAGACCAGCATACAGTGTGGAGCATTTGTACATCCGCTGCCTTCACTCAAGCGACGCCTGCGACATCTGTCGCCACTAAGGCCTTCCGGAAACCGTAGAGTGGCTAGAGAGTAATCCGAAACTCCTCGGCCAAGAATCGTAATGTCGACGAACGGATATAATTCATACAACCTCTCCTACCAACAATCTTCCGCCCAACGATATGCATCATATCATACTGCGCCCGCTTCGAACAACATCACCCAATCCGCCCACCAGTACCAGCAACCACCACCAACGACGCAAGCCCAACAATACATGCCCTACCCAACACAGTCACATACACCCCAGAACAGCGGATATGGAACTGGAGCCACATGGAACAACGACGCATACGGTGCAACTCGCGAGACAACAAAACAGGCTGCCGAGGTTCTGCACAATATGAGTAACCCCTCGTATGCACCTAGCACCACACCTGCGACCACCCAACCCACCTTCATCACCAATACTACCACGTCGTCGCATCCCAGTCACTATGCCAGTTCCAATGCCCCGCAAGTCCTAGCGCAGCAGAGCCATTCTCTTTATGGACAATCGCAAGCGCACCCACAGAGTGTTAACAATAATCGTGCTCTACCGTCTCCGGTCACAGCATTAAAGAGCCATCTGCACGCAACGCAGTCAATATATAACCGACAACAGCAGCAGCGCTCTGACAGCCCAGCCCAGTCTCAATACACTACCGCACAAGCCAACAATGCACGAACCGCAACTATGATGGCTACAGCAAATCAGCAGTACGGCGGTTACGGCAACCAGCAGGTTGCTAGCGTCGAGTCCTCGCGCGGGTCACAAAATCACACACCGTCAAACGTCAATAATTACAACACTGCGCCAATGCCCCCAGCTGCGCCTTCTGCACCCACTGTCAGCATAGCCGATACATACCATACACAGGGCACAACTACTGTAGATCCACTGGCAGTGTACGACCCATGGCCGGAATATCAGCGAAAACAGGCAGCAAGGAAGGCGATTGAGGAAGCGGCACGCGCCGAAGAGGAAAGGCTTGCAGCGGAGACGCGCAAAATAGAAGAGGAGCGTAGACGGCAAGAAGAGAGCGAAAGCTTGCGACAACCACAACCAAAGTCCAATGCGAACCAAAGTCAAAAGGAGCAGCAACCAAACACAGTCGAGGTGGCTGCTGCACCTCCGGCTGGCGAATATGGTCTTAGTGATGCGTTGGAAGCCGAGATTCGTGCAATGATGGCGAAAATGCGTGAACTCAACAGCAAAGACCCGAGTCTCCTTGCGCGCATCTGGGAAGAGGAACGAAGAGCAAAACCAAAATCACAGACAACACAGAGCAAGCCTACGCCCCCAGATACTGCACCGCCACCTGCTGCTGCCCAGTCTACACAATCTGCTCATGCTAGCACTCCGCAGTCTGCAAACTCAGAGGAGAACATTTCACATAGAGAAACGATGAGCACAAATGTATTTAAGCCGGCTACTCCCGTTGTCGCTCAGGCTGAACCGGTAAGGCGAACCCAGACGCCGGCCAGTCGACCCGCCGGCAACACTGTTTGGCCAGCAGAGAAGAAGGCACATCTAGCAAAAGCAGCCGCAGCATATCTAAATGACTACAACACTTTTCGCAAAATTCTACCTGCTCGCATAATAACTCTACTCAATAGCAACCCTTCTTATATCCAACTATGTGAGCAGCTTGAGCAGATGGAGTTTAAACTAGATCGTGCAGCCTTTGCTAAATGCTTGCTCACAGCTGTGCCAGATGTAAACTCAAAATCGCGTCAATCTTTACCTCAAGCACCAGCTCCTGTGCAGACACCGCCTGTCCCACCTGCCGTAATGAAGAAGGATATTTCAGCCTCTGTCGCACCTAGCCCACAAGACACGCCAGTTTCAGGCCCATCGGCTCCAGGTCCACCAGCAAGTACAGAACAGTACACGCCATTTCCAAATCACGGCTCACCGGCAGGCCCTTCACCAAACACACCTGCACCTGCACCTGCACCTGCACCAGTCGTCGAGATGATGCCCATCAAGCCTGAGTTGCGGAAGCCTGCTAATAAAGAAGAGGCTGCCCGAAAGCGCAACCTGAGCGACCTCGTTGATTTAACGCAACTTTCAGAAGACGAGGATATGGGTCCACCACCCAAGAGGCTGGATTCTGGTGCCATGCATATATCTGATCCTCAGGGTACAACGAATGGCGACAAGCAAATGTCGACTTCTATCACCAATGGACCACCGCAGTCTTTTATGCAACAATTGCCAGCGCTACCTAACAGCCTTAGATATACCACCTACGTTAAGCCACTAGATCGGAATAAAGCACTACGTCGAAATACTTACAATCCTGCAACAATTGCACGCGATGTCTTGATCGCTTGTGGAAGACACCCGTCTCAGCGTAATCTAAACCAGCATTTAGACCAGCTAAGAACAAGTTTGCCTAATGTCACGATGGAGTCGGACCTCAGCACTATTAGGTGGGATCTGATCGATCCTGGCAATCCACCTCCGGACTACTTCAAGGAGAGAGTCGAAGATCTCACGCAAGATGCAGACGAGGATTCGGGTCATGACGAGAGACCGCGTCCCCGCTCTCCGTCGAATGCGATTGGTGGTGAGGGTGGGGCTCAGGTAAAGGCCCAAGCTTTACCTGAAGCTATCAATCCATTCATCAAGAAGAAGCGACGCGGTCGACCTCCGCGAAACTCTTTACCCGACACCACTGAGCCTGTGAATCAGCCTGCTCCCATGAGTTCAAGTGACCGACCTGCCTCAGGTGCTAGCGGCGTGGGCTATTCGGCATTTCGATCTGCTACACAGTACAACCCTGACGGAACACCAATTCCTAAGAAGAGAGGTCGCCCTGTTGGTTGGAGAAAGGCTATCCATGGATCTGCTACCACGCAGGCTCAAACGAATTCAAACAAAGACACTGGCCTCTTGAATAAGTATCAGCCGCTACAGTCAAGCTCCTTGCGCAATGTGCGCCCAGATGATGCAGCAATTCGTATCGACTCGAGGTCGCCGAGTGTCGTGAACCGTGTCTTTCAGTCGTACAAGTGCAAATGGCTAAACTGCAAAGCAGAGCTACATAACATGGATACCCTGAAGAAACATGTATTCAAAATACACCATAAAGACACGGTCGGCAACGCTTTGAATTGTCTGTGGGATGATTGCGGCCAAGATACCCATTCACCTTCTTTTGACCTGGAGAGCAACTGGCGCAACCATGTACAGCAGGCGCACTTTGATCCGCTGTTATGGGAGCTTGGCGATGGACCAGCCAGTGGTCTCTCTGGTAAGGAAGATGATCAAAAGAAGAGCTTGGATTGACATGAGAGAAAAGATCTGACAATATGCAATTTAGACTCGCATGACTCTGATGCTTATCTTAGCGATGCGCAAGGTCGACAAGTTACTCCACGCATTATAGTCGACCCCGAGCGCCTAGAGGCGCTTAGTTTGTCTCCACCAGGTTTACTATCACGAGGTCGCGGACGGCCTCCGAAACGCACCCTAGAGCAAGAAGCTCGTGATGCGCACGATAGGCTCGTGTCGCTGAAAATGCGCATAGGAGGGCCGGGCATGGATTGTGGAGGGACAACACTTGTGAACGATAAGCGGCGAAGAGGTCTTATTGATGTCGATGAGACAGAAGAGGAGGTTGTCAACGTGGAGGACTGAACCAAACGACAGTGCTTTGTAGGGTTTATTTAACACTACTCTCTTAGGATTTTTTTCTATAAATACACATATACCCAGTAGGAGCACGATGCTGCATTGGATTGGCAGTGGGCGTGTATCAAGGAGATCGAGAGCCACGCTGTACTTCATGATAGCCAAACAAATCGAGCATTCCGGCGATCATAATAGCTTGAGAACCCAAAGTTATATACGCCTAAACGCCATGCCCTTGGACCAAAAAGCTTCCCTTTTGTGAGACGGGCATCATCTCTAACTCGCAATATGGATGCAATTGCGTGTCTCTTATCAATGGCTAACCATGCTGCACTCTTCATGCTTTGACCTTTGCTCCCGCAGCCCTTGGCTTCTCCTCAACCTTGTGATCGTCGGAGTTGACTTCCAGGAAATGATAGACGACGATGAGCAGCATGGCAGCGCTTCCAAGGAAGATTGCGAGCGAGTAGAGTTGGGAGTCTGTAATCATCTTGAACGTAAACGCGCGTCGAATCGAGCTGGATGGCTAGTGGAAAGGCGTGGGGACGCGCTGCGGAGTTGTTAGTAGCACAAAACAACAAAATAAAAAGATGGCAATGTCTCACAGAAACTAGGCGCAATGCAAGGGCGTAAAAGTCGGGAATGTCGGGGCGGTATTGGTTGCGTACGTAGTGATTGACTATTGGGGCTCATGTCAAGGCCACCTTGAAGCTTCGGGAATGTCGGCGAGGGCCAGGGCTGGCTCTAGCGCAAGGTCCTCCGCCACTTGAAAATCCACCCCACACAGCGTCATTCTCACTTTGACGCCCACAAAGCCCAGGCACCATATCGCCCATCAACCATCTACCATCCACCGTCGCATTTGGCACGAGTCCGTCCCCGAAACTACGTGAACCTACCCAGCGTCCCTCCAACCCTCACCGTCTTTACAAACCAACGCAAACCAAGTAAACATGGCACCCAAGGGCAAGGGCGACCAGCCCAAGGCGAAGAAGGTCGTTGTGGACAAGACCTTTGGTATGAAGAACAAGAAGGGAGGAGCCGCCCAGAAACAGATTGCGCAACTCAAAGCCACGCAAGCATCTGGAGGTACACCGGATGAGAAGCGCAAGGCGGCGGAGAAGGCACAGCGCGAGAAGGAAAAGGCCGCGGCCGAGGCGGCGCGCAAAGAAACCGCTGAGCTCTTTAAGCCAGTGCAAGTTCAGAAGGTTCCATTCGGAACCGATCCCAAGACAGTGCTGTGCCAGTTCTTCAAGAAGGGCAACTGCGAAAAGGGCAAGAAGTGCAAGTTTAGTCACGACCTGGCTGTTGAACGCAAGACCGAGAAGAAGAGTTTGTATACCGACAGCAGAGACCAGGAGAAGACAGAAGATGAGGAGCGCAAGAAGAAGGACAACATGGACGACTGGGACGAGACCAAGCTACGAGAAGTCGTCCTGAGCAAGCATGGAAACCCCAAAACCACAACAGACAAGGTGTGCAAGTACTTTATCCAGGCTATCGAAGACCAGAAGTACGGTTGGTTCTGGACATGTCCAAATGGCGGAGACAAGTGCTTCTATAAACATTCTCTCCCACCCGGGTAAGTTTAACCTGTTGCTGTTGATACCAGGATGTAGACTAATAGACCGTAGCTTCGTCATCAAGACCAAAGAGCAACGCGCAGCTGAGAAGGCCCTTATGGCCAACTCCCCACTCAACACTCTCACGCTGGAAGATTTCCTCGAGTCGGAACGTCATAAGCTCACCGGAAAACTTACGCCCGTCACACCAGAAACGTTTGCTAAATGGAAGAAGGAGCGTATCGACAAGAAGCAGGCCGAAGAAGAGGCTAAGAGGCTCAAGGAGGCCACTGGTAGGGCTATGTTTGAAAAGGGTGACTGGGCTCAAGACAGCGACGAGGATAGCAGCGATGGTGAAGCCGACGACGAATGGAATCTGGAATCCATGAGGAGAGAGACGGAAGCCGCACGGCAAAGGAAGGAGGAGGAGCGCATTGCTGCCTCTATGGAGAACATGACCGTTTCTTGAATGCCATCGACCTATTCCGAGTCAGAGACTCGTCGAGGGGTTGAGAAAGGAAGAGGCGACGAGAGCCTGCCGGCTGCCACACAATGCTGAAAAAGCTTGCAGGGCAGGACGAGTATCCCTATGGCAAGAAACCGATGGGTTGTTCTTGTACACCTATCGCCGTAGCTTTGGGATGATCCTAAGCCTTGTCACTCCATGTGCAATACTGCCTAGAATGGCGGATCATCAGACTCAATTGGCTTTTGTGTCATTTGGCGCTGGCGTCTCGGTTTGTTGGGGGTTCAGATATCATTGTACGGGGTTACGAAATATAACTACGCTTGCATGAACACCATGCCATGTCGATCTACAAGATGCATCATTGCGATGGGAGTTTGTCGTAATGTTTTTGTAAAGGGAATTTGGAATATCTCACTAGCAGTCTCATATCGATTCGAGTATCTATCGTATGATATTGATCTCGCACATATCAAGCTAACGGCATGACTTCTGAGGGCGGTGAGTCTGTTCAAGATACTTATTCTCATATTTTGGACGAGTACTCTGAGGAATCATGTGAATGCTTACTCCATATCATACTGTTATCTCTGCTAAGATGAAATTATTACATTACGCGTGCGTCCTGAAGACTACTCAACGAGATCTCCAGGCATGCATCGTTCTATCCAATGACGATGAGCGTAATGCTAGTGTACAGGGAATCATATGCTATTTTCGGACCGAGATGTATATCAACACGTTGTACATACAAACTCTACCAAGAGAAAAGTATGCCACGGATAGCAGAAACGGTAACTGAGATAATGAGATCGGAAAGTGGAGGGCGTTTTATGGTGTATTCCTTACCCTGGGGTCATGTGAGATCTCTAGTTGGTCACACGTAAATCGGTGTTTTGGACGAGTGATGAGGACCGATGGTTCTACAAAGCTAGAACAGACAACTGACACATACGGAAAGTCCAGAGCACCTCAAGGGAAGTAGATACGGTAAGTAGAGGCGCCGAGTGGAGTCTGTTACTATGCGACCTGTCATCAAAGGATCACTCGCAGATTAGCCAAGTCCGAGGTTTGCGCGAGCAGCCCAAACCGCATGAAGCCGCGCTAGACACCAAAGGGGAAAGGCCGGCCGTATCCCTGGGACTCAATTGCCGCGCTTCTGTTCCGCCTACGTTTCTAGTCGTCCCCGCAGCATGACGGTACGCGTGCTCGGCCATGCTGCCGTGGAGTACCAAGTCCCAGATACTGGGGCTCTCTAGCATCCGATTTTATTGCCGGCCACCTTGCAATCCCGATATGCGTTGCCTTGAATGCCGTTGTGCACTAGCCCGGCTTGGAAATGGATGGCGTCGGTGTAAGGACAGAGCGAGCTTTCTTTAAAGAGCGCTGGACCGGCTACATTGGATGCTAACTATTTAGCCAGTATCCTCGCTATTCTCCCATCTCCTCTCTTTTTTGTGCACTTTTACATCCAGCTTCACTAGCAGTAGTATAGTCCTAGTGCAGGGGGCTTTTTTCTGATTCCCGTCTTACATCGAGGCGGCATTCCACATCCTCTTATTTATACCGCCACGCTTTCAAACTTTCAAACTTACTGAAGGGGAAAAGAAGCCATGGTGGAGAACTACGACGTTGTTATTGTTGGTGCGGGGCCCGTCGGCCTTTGTCTCGGAACCTGCCTGGCAAGATGGGGTTACAAAGTCAAGCACATCGACAACAGGCCAGAACCTACCGCTACTGGTCGAGCAGACGGTATCCAGCCACGCTCGCTGGATCTTTTGAGGAACATGGGCCTCAAGCGCAAGATTATGGAGTATGAGCCAGCAAAGGTGTACGAGGTCGCTTTCTGGGATCCAGCACAAAAGGGTATCCACAGAACAGGCACATGGGCTAGTTGCCCCAAGTTCATCGACGCACGATACCCTTTCACCACCTTGCTACACCAAGGTATGATTGAGCGGACTTTTATCGGGGACATCGAGAAGAACGGTGGCAAGATCCAAAGACCGTGGACGATTACCGGGTTCAAGAATGATGGCAAGGACAAGACATATCCTGTCGAGGTCCAACTCGCACATGTGGATGGCACAGCTCAAGAGACCGTTCGAGCAAAGTACCTCTTCAGCGGAGAGGGCGCGAGGAGTTTTGTCAGAGAGCAACTGGGTATCAACATGATCTACAAGGATCCCATTGCTCACGTCTGGGGAGTCATGGATGGCGTTGTCAGGACAAACTTCCCTGATATCAAGGTATGTGCTCTCAATTTTCTGCTGGCATCAATTCTCTCATATACTAACGGGATTCCAGATGAAATGCACAATCCACTCTGATGCTGGATCTATTATGATTATTCCCCGCGAGGACAACATGGTTCGTCTGTACATTCAAGTAGCATCCTCAACCGACAAGGACTGGAATCCCCGCAAGACTGCTACCGCAGAAGAGGTCCAGGCCCGCGCCATTGAGATTTTCAAGCCATACACCATCTCTTGGGATCGTGTAGAATGGTACTCTGTCTACCCCATTGGTCAAGGTATCGCTGAGCGTTACACTCTCGACGAGCGCGTATTTATGGGTGGTGACGCATGCCACACTCACAGCCCCAAGGCCGGTCAGGGCATGAACACCGCATTCCTCGACGCCGTCAACTTTGCCTGGAAGATCCACCACGTAGAGAGCGGCTGGGCACCACGCTCCCTTCTCTCCACCTACGAATCAGAACGCAAGCTCATCGCTGAAACCCTTCTCGACTTCGACGCCCGCTACGCCAAACTCTTCTCCACCCGCATCCCCTCAGCCGGTGAAGTGGCCGGCGCCTCCGCCAAAGAAGCCCCCGAAGACAACGAATTCATCAAGACCTTCAAGGCAAGCTGCGAATTCACCAGCGGCTACGGCGTAGCCTACAACCCCAACCTCGTCAACTGGGGCCCCGAGCACCCCGCACAGCACCCCCTCATCCTCTCCTACCCCCAAGGCACCACGCAGCGCACCGGCCGCATCCTCACCCCCGCAACCGTGACCCGCGTCGTCGACGCCAACGTTGTGCACCTGGAACAAGAAATCCCCTTCAACGGCTCCTACCGCATCTTCATCTTCGGCGGCACCCTCGCCAAATCCAGCACCGCCCTCAAAGACCTCGCCACAAACATGTCCTCCCCCAACTCCTTCTTCAACGCCTTCCTCCACCCAGACATCAAGGACAAGGACCGCTACCACGAGAAACACAACCCCCACTCGGACTTCTTCTCCCTCGCCCTCGTCTTCGCAGAGAAGCGCTCAAAGATCGAAATCGATGAGCAGTTGCCCCAGCCGTTTGCGAGATATGCCGATCATGTCTATGCGGATGATGTCTGGGATCAGCGTGTTCCCGATGCGAAAGCCGCCGCGCACGCTAAGATGGGTCTGGATCAGGAGACTGGAGGTGTCGTTGTCGTGCGACCTGATGGCTACGTCGGTGTTGTGGTGAAGCTTGAGGAGGGCAAGGGTACGTGTGAGGCGCTGAATGCATGGTTTGGAGTTGTTACTGGAAAGAAGTTGGGTGGTGAACGGGCGAGTTTGTAAAAAGAAAAGAAAAGGGATGATGATTGATTGGTTGGAACTTTTTTTTCTGGGAAATAATTGCATAGCGTATGGTTCCTTTTTTTTGTATACCTTTTCGAATAATGATGGTTGGATGACTAAACATGTTTTGGGTTGTGTGGATTGCCGCCCCCCCTTTTTGTAGCAAGTGGTGTTGATAGATTGCAAATGAGTAACCGTTAACTGCACAAAAATCAGACCATCACCCTGCTTTACTTCAGAACAAGAATCTCATCAAATGTCGCCATACGTACCCCGAATCCCGTCAGTGACTCAAAATCCGCACATACGAATTTAGTTGCTGGAGCGATACTTGCATTCTCCTGTGTCGAAACAATTCCAAAAGGCAAAAAAAAAGTTGATATCAAAACTTCCAAAGTCTATGATTGCCAAACAAAAGGTCTATACACATATCTTGACGATATATAGCTTCTACTCCCCGTCTCCTCAAACCCTATCCATCTTCTAATTCACTACTCTCTTCATCTGCGCCGCCTGTCTCGGCTCGATAACCAGTGCCTCAGCCTCGGTCAGCACAACCCCATTCTTCTTCCCCTGGTCCCAATCCTCCGCCTTGGGCAGCGTCTCGAGCCGACCCTTTGTCCACGCTTTCCTGCCCTCAACCTTGGTCGTCTCAGCATGTACGACTACGATTTGACCTGCCATACAGGGTGCCTTGTAGTTTATTGTCAGGCTAGCTGTGACTCCGACTTTGTTGGGGAGCGCGGGGAAACAGCAGCGTACGAGGGCTTCGTCGAGAAGTGTGGCTAGGAGACCTCCGTGTATGATGCCTGGGTGTCCGCATAGTGCGCTGCCGAGGTATTGTATCGAAATATACTGCATGCCATCGGCTGTGTAGAATTGAAGGGGTGGTGAGGCAATCTTGTCGGGTCCGAGGAGTGTTCCACCGGTAAGATTCTGGGCGCGAAGTTGCTCGGGAATTTTGAGATGCGGGCGCACGGCAATGAATTTGGGGTCCGCGAGTAGGCTCTTGGTGAGCGGGTGCTCGAATATGCTCTTCTCGATCTCTGCGACTTCTTCGGTGGAGGGGTTGAAAAGTTCGAGTGTCTCGGCATCCGTCGGTGGGTTGGCGAGCTCCTGGAGGGATTGAACTGCGGGGGCGCCAGCCATGATGAAGCCGGTGGTGAAGGTGAGGAGTGTAAGCGCGAGGGCAACGGGTAAGCGTATGTAGAAAGGGCGTTTGGTCACAGGACTCGGGTTAGGAGAAGGTGGTGGGGTTGATTGAGCAGTGTGCGATTGTTGGGGCAGCGATGCTACAAGAGTTGTTTAGTTAAGGGTCTACAGACTGCATATTGGTCATCGCAAAGGACAGGGTGATCAGACTTACCGATATCACTCTGTTGCCTTATCTGTCTCGAGACGTATGCCCACTTTGCCTGCGCGACAATTCCATCTTTTATACCAGGCCGGCCGACTTCGCGCCGCGCCAATGGCGGCCTACTACAGGTACCCCGACAGCGACCCACATGCCTAAATATGGCCGATCTTGCGGATAACATGGCTATTTCGTGCCCAGAAGCAGAGAATTTCCGGCCTAGTCGTTTGTTGCGATCTGAGTCGGTGAGCGTATGGCGATAGAAGGTTCCGCCCTCAGCTCGGACCTTCGGAATGATGTGCCTCGGTTCAGGGAAAGTCCGTGGTCATGCATCCTTTGTCAGGCAATTTCCTCTGTGGCTGGCCAAGACAATGGACAGAGCACTACCCGCCATGGTTGTTCAAGGCTCGGCCGATGACATGGTGAACAACCTGCTTTTTCCTTCGCTGAAAACCCCCTATTTTTTTGCGGGATGTCGTTGATGCCCATCTACACGCGTATTGTTGGAACTAATGGGGAAACTTCAAACTCCAGACATCACCTACGTCCATGGAAGCAATGCTCAGCACGAATTCATCTCATGCGTATCTGTTGGCACGATAAAGGTGCACGTGGTGAATCAACTTGCAGCTGCAAATACTATAGTGAGGAAGCGGATTGATTGATTGTATCTGTTATCGTGTTGAGTATCTACAGTACCTCCGCGCACGGGCCAATAGGCGGTGACGACGCCTTTGCCAG